GGGTTAATTAGGGGTCAGGGGTTAATTGGGCGGGTCAGGGGATGGTTAATTGGGATCAGGGGTTAATTAGGGGCCGGGGGTTAATTGGGAGGGTCAAGGGTTAATTAAGGGGTGGGGGTTAATTAGGAGGGTCAAGGGTTAATTAGGGGGTTAAGGAGAGGGTTAACAGAGGGATCAGGGATTAATTAGGGGGTTTAATAGAGGGTCAGGGGTTAATTGGGCGGGTCGAGGGGTGGTTAATTGGGATTAGGGGTTAATTAGGGGCCGGGGGTTAATTAGGAGGGTCAAGGGTTAATTAAGGGGTGTGGGGGGGGTGAGGGGTTAATGAGGGGTTTCGGAGGGTTAATTAGGGGTCAGGGGTTAATTGGGCGGGTCAGGGAATGGTTAATTGGGATCAGGGGTTAATTAGGGGCCGGGGGTTAATTAGGAGGGTCAGGGGTTAATTAAGGGTTGGGGGTTAATTAGGGGGTTAGGGAGAGGGTTAATAGAGGGATCAGGGGTTAATTAGGGGGTTTAATAGAGGGTGAGGGATTAATTGGGGGTCAGGGGTTAATTAGGACGTCCAGAATGGTTAATTAGGAGGTCAGGGAAGGATTAAATGGGGAGGTCAGGGGTTAATTAAGATGTGGGGGTTAATTAAGGGGTCAGAGGAGGGTTTAATGGGGGGGTCTGGGGTTAATTAGCGAGGTCGGGATTAATTAGTGAAGTCAGGGGTTAATTAAGATCTGGAGGTTAATTGAGGGGTCATAGAAGGGTTTAATGTGGGGATCAGGGGTTAATTAAGGGCTGGGGGTTAATTAAGGGGTCAGAGGAGGGTTTAATGGTGGCAGTCGGGTTAATTACCAAGGTCAGGGGTTAATTAGCAGGGTCAGGGGTTAATTAAGGGCTGGGCATTAATTAAGGAGCTTAACAAGAGAGGTCAGGGGTTAATTAGCAAAGTCAGGGGTTAATTAAGGGCTGGGGGTTAATTAAGGGGTCAGAGGAGGGTTTAATGGGGGGGTCAGAAGTTAATTAGTGAGGTCAGGGGTTAATTAGCAAGGTCAGTGGTTAATTAAGGGCTGGGTGTTAATTAAGGGGTCAGACAAGGGTTTAATGGCGGGGTCAGAGGTTAATTAGTGAGGTCAGGGTTTAATTAGTGAAGTCAGCGGTTAATTAAGGGCTGGACATTAATTAGGGGGCTTAACGGGAGAGGTCAGGGGTTAATTAGCGAGGTCAGGGGTTAATTAAGGGCTGGGCATTAATTAAGGGGCTTAATGGGATAGGTCAGGGGTTAATTAGCACTTGAAGATTAATTACCTTGGTAGGTGATTAATTAGATGCTAATTAGCCCTAATTAACCCCCCGCAGGAGCCCCCGCCCACGACCTCTCCCTGGTGGCCCCGCCCCGCACCTCCAGCCCCGCCCCTTCCGCCGGAGGAGGCCCCGCCCTCTGCTCCGCCCCAGGAGGCCCCTCCCCTTCCCCGGGGGGCGTGGCCACGGAGGCCCCTCCTCATGGTGGAGGAGGGGGCGTGGCCTCCGAGGGCGTGTCCGGAGGGGTGGGCGGGGCCGGCGGGGAAGGGGCGGGGCCCGACCCGGCGCTGGAGCGGCGCCTCCTGCTGCTGCTGTCGGACCTGGCGCTGCCCCTGCCCCGCGACGCCGCCGCCCTCTGCGCCGCCCTCCAGCAGGTGAGGGGGGCAC